GGCGAGTCAGGAGAGGTCTGCCCCATGTGAGAAGCTCCCTGCCCGGGGATCGAACTCGTGCTGCAGTGGCTACAGAGAGCTTCCTAGGTTGTGTCTTAACTCCTTGTGCCACCAGGGAGGCCCCTACTTAGTTTGGCTTTGTGCTTTAGTTTGAGCTTATGAATCTTCTGCTTTCTCCTATACTAAACCTTCATAAACAACCTGGCCCCTTTCTTTTCCTTTTGCAAAGTCCCAATGAAAGGCAGTTTGTTCACTTAATCCATTCCTTTCTACTCTATTAAAATGTTTAGTGCTTTTAATTTTGTGTTATTTTAAAGGAATTTGATAAGTATGATATAAAGTAGCATTTAATTGGCTCTAGAACCTACCTGTTTCGCTTATGCCAGGATCAGCCATACTTTATAAAAATATTGACTATCACACAGCAATAAATTGATTTCTATTAAGCTTAATTCTTTAGAGAAAGCCAAAGATACAGTTTTTTACTTTTGTAATCAGTATTCCTCTTAGTACAGAAACCTAGACTGAGAAAAAATTACAACTATTGAGAATATAGATTAAGTGCTACCTTTGGCAGATAAGTATCCAAACTTGTAGAATTTTAGAGCTGGAAGTATCTTGGTGATCACTTCATCCAGTGACCTTGTGTTATAGTAGAAAAATACTGTGGTTTGGGAATAGCTGTTAGATTATTAAATTTGAAAAACATTCAAACTTAACATTCAGAATTTTTAGGGGATTGCAAGAGTGATGATCTCAGGGGTATCAGTAATCAGGAAACAAGGTAATTTGTGACTTTTTTTTTGAAGTCTGTCTACTTTTTTTAGTTATAGAAAGTTTTTTTTTAATACTAATTTGCTAATAAAGTAAAGAAAGAAGTTCAAGAATTTCACCAGTTTCTTTGGAAGCTAATAACAGCCAAGATTAAAAGTATAATCTTTAAGAAACAACTTTTATTTTTATAATGTCAGTCATATAACACTTGTTGATGCTGTTGAGCCATGCTGCCCCTATAATGCCCCGGGGAAGCTGCCTAATCAGGGTCAGCTAGTGAGTTTGTGAGAGTAAGCAAGTGAAATAGCAATAAGAAATGTCTGAGAGGGTCCCTGAGGATAAAAGACGTATGTTGGTACCTTAATTCTTCCAAATCAAAGTAGTTTGTCTTCTGGTATCAGAGCTATTTTCTACTGTTGAAAACAACAGATTTCATAAAAAATTCAAGAAGATAAAGATGTCTTAGGATTCAGTGACTTGATAACTTGCAAAGGTGTTAAAGCCTAATGTTTAGGCAGTGTCAAACTGCACTCTACAGTTTGCCTCAAGATAACAGAAATAGAAGCTTTTAACTTCTTGGAAGAAAATGTGATATAAAATAATGGTTCGAAGGTTTCACTGAAAGTTATGACTATATTTAAAATGTGTTTGTCATTAGAAGACAAATATTTCTTTCAGTGCTTTCATAGTAAGTGTCTTTATTACTAAAGATATTCAATGACTTTGTTATAAATTAAAGTTTCTATAAGAGTTTGTTAATTGTTTTAGGTAAATGTAAACATAGAAATTTGTAAAATAGTTAACAGTTTCTTTGTTTTATCACTTAGCCTTCACAATAACTCTCAGAGGTTGTACTGTCATTCCCATTTTTAAGCATGGAAATGAGGGATTAGAGAAGTTAAATAACTTATCCAGTATCACAGACCAGTGATGGAGGTAGGACTTTCACTCAAAATGTTAGACTCTAAACCCAAGCAACCACTAGTTACTGCTTCATTTAACCAAAATTCTTAAAATGTTACTCTAAATATATTTGATAGTCTTTCTATATAAACAGTTTATATAATTTACATTTTAATCACTGCTAGATATTATTAATAGACTGGGTAACCTTTAATAATAGAAAAATCTAAGAAATTTGATTTCACCTAAAAGATTATCTAGTGAAGTCTTACCTCTTTAACAGACCAGGAAGTTGAGGCTTGTAAGTTTACTGACACTCAATTGCAATATTGCTATGAATACAAGTTTGAAACATTTTAGGGTAAACACTAAATGAAATTCACTAGTTCTAATCAAAAGCATGCAACATACCAGATTTGCATTGTATTTTAATAAAATGCTTTAAAAATAGTTCATTATGGGAGGGAGAGCACAGGGGACTGAGGTGATGGTGCATGGGTGCCTTGGTGAAGGAAGTTCTATGGGGACTACACCTGAGGGGGTGAAGCAAACATTGTTTAAAAATGAACAATGATATAAAAAAATTTTAATAATTAAAAAAATAAAATCTTATAAATCTTATAAATCTCTGTATCCTAAATGCTTTGTACAGTGCCTGCTAGGCATGTAATTGGAAACTTTTTTTTAATTAAACATGTATAATCATTATAATTTTAAGATTTAAATAACTTTTAATTTATTACATGGTAATTTTTAAGTATCTCTAAATGTTCATCTACTAGGAACATATTAAATACTGTGTCAATAATATTTCACTGTTTGCCATGAGACTTTTGACAATGTTTTAAATTGCTTTAGCTTTGAGAATACAGAAAATCCTAACAAAGATTCAATATTAAGAAAAGAAATAAAAAACCTAAAACATGAAGTATACACTGAAAATTATTTACAAAAACTGAAATAGAAAATATTCCCTTATTGGGAAATGTCTCTAAATAGCAGCATTATGATTCAGTTAAAATGTACAGAAGATAAAGTTACTTACAAGTATTTGTAGGATAGTTCATGAAAAGTTCTTATTTGACAATTCAATTTTTTTTTTAGAAAAAAAAACACTTCAGTTATATCCCTTTTATATTTTTATAAGTAAATCTTGTATTTTGGTTTCTAATTTAATCTCATTTTTTTCTCTTTTGTATAATTACTGCTAACTTTTAAAAAATATTGCTTATTTCAAAGAGAAATAATGTTTAAAAGATGTGAAGCATTTAATCCTTGAATGCTGGAACCACGTTTAAAGTATTGTAAGCACATCTGTATTATATTACACAGGGAAAAGAATGTATGCATTCTATGGCCTTTGGGCACTAGGGTGGCTGGTTTAGGAAAACTGAGTGTTTTGCCTTTCAAGTTTCTTTTCAACATAAAAAACATTGTGATTCTAAAAATGAAGGACTTAATCCTAGTTATGGGGTGTGGTCAGGCAAACATAAGAAAAGTTTTAGTTTTACAGTTGTTTTCTCACTTGTCACTTACTTCTTAAAAAGAAATCAATTTTTATAGCAGGCTTGGCTTTGCATTTTGTTAAACACATTTCCCAGCACTTGGTAATTACTGCATGAAACAAACTTAGAACACAGAGAAATCTATAGTTCTGTACTAGGAGTTCTTAATAATTGTGCTGTGTTAGTCAGCTCTAAGTTCTAGGACAAATAATTGGTTACTAATTAAGTAATACCAAAGTTTGGTTTGTTCTTTAAAAAAAATCACAGCAGATTCAAATGTATCCTGATGATAATCTCATTCTTCATCACTTGTATTCCATTGTATTTTTTTGAGTGGGAGGGAAAAGGATAGAGTCCTGGAATATGTGTTTTACATGTGACTGTCATCTGTCATGGGTAGAAATGGAGAAAAATGTTGGAAAAATTTTGTACTACACTGGAGGATGTGTTTTCAACTTTTTATTTGAAATGATGTGATAGTCGTATGTACAGTGCCTAGTGAGCTACCTGAAATTCCACCCCTTTCTCTCCTATCCTAGAATGGTAAAGCAGTAGAGCAGATCTTTTTTTTTTTAAAGATTTATTTATTTATGCATACAAGAACTGGGGTACAAGCCAGTTCTTGGGGGGTGAGAGGATTCACCAGAGACAGAGCAGGGAACAGAACAGGCAGACTGACTGAAATACACTGCTGAGGGGAGCAGCAGGTGAGACAGGAGAGGTCTGCTGTGCCATGTGGGTAGTTCCCTGGCCGGGCATCAAACTTGTGCTGCAGTGGCTGCGGACAGCTTCATAGGTTTTGTCGTAACCCCCTGTGCCACCATGGAGGCCCCTAAAGCAGTAGATCTTTAATCAACTTTTTTTTTTAACTAATAACTTGAGAATTTTATATATCAAGGAATACTGTATTTAATTATCTGTGGCACATTTGACAGCTCTGTTATTTTGCCATGACTCATAAACTTAAATTTTATATTTTTGCCTCATTCAGTAACCCAAACTTGGGCCTCCCTGGTGGTGCAAGGGGTTGAGCACCGCACTATGAAGCAGTACGCAGCCTCTGCAGCACGAGTTCAATCCCCTGGCCGGCCAGGGAGCAACCCACATAGCACAACAGACCTCTCCTATTTCGCCCGCTATTCCTCTCAGCAGTGTATTTCAGTCAGTCTGCCTGTTCTGTTCCCCACTCTGTATCTAGTGAATCTTCTCACCCGTCCCCCATCTCTGGCCTGTACCTCATCTCTTGTATAAATAAATAAATAAATCTTAAAAAAAAACAACCCAAACTTGGTTTCTTTAGATTTCAAAATAATGGAAAGCCAGATTTAATATTGTGGCAATATACATTTCTGAAATCTGTATGAATTAGAATCAACACTTTAGAAAAAATTTTTGAGCTACTCATTTCACTTCTAAATTACTTAAATGTTATTTCTCATAGGATGGTTTTTGGTGTTTTTGCTTTTAAGGCTCAAACTAAAAATATGTGAGGAATTTGAACTTTTAGCTGCTCATTTTTATCCAAGAAAAATTTAAATCTTTTTTCCTTTATATGAAAATGACTTGTTCTAGATCTTTCCTGATGTCAACTTACTTGATTTGCTTTTGTTTTAGTTTTAGAACCACTATATTAATAGCTCCTTTACCTGATTTTCTTAGAGATATTAAACCTACTATAGTATGAGGAAATGACTACTGAATTAGTGCCATAGTGTTCAAAACATTATTTAATATAAAGGATTCTCTGATATATTTCATTTATGAGTAATTCTATATGTTAAGTGTTTCATTCTTTCTGTTGTTTTTTTTGATCATAAGATATTATGAACTGGATCCTTGCAAAAGTCTCCTTGACAATTTGAGGAATAAAGTGATCATTGAGTATCCAACGTTACATGTGGTATTAAAAGAATTCAGTAGTGACATGAAAATTCTTCACCAAGGTGAGTATAAATTTCTATCTGTAATGCTTAGAATTACTGTAGTGAAACTGAAGCAATTATATGACTGTCATTATTTCTTCTGTATTTTCCCACTGAATTTACTCTATTGCGACAGTTAATACTGTAAAGACCCAAAGTAATGAACTACTGTTTTGATCTGTTTGAACATATATAAGCTTTTAATATCAATTTTAAATGAATCAGTTGGAATGTCTGACTATAAAAGGATATTCTTTGCTTTATTGGAATTCTCTATGTTTTTGTCTTCTTTTAATCTATAAATATTTTAAGGAACCATTTGTCCATGATCAGATAAATTTACTCCCTAATTAGAACTCATTCTTCAGAGATTCCTAAAATGAGGGATTACAAAACATTAAGCAATACTGTTTCAAGGAGCATTATTTTTAAAATATGGACTACATTTAGAATAAGCTAGTGTCATTGCCTTGACTCTTACCTCCTTTTTTCGAACTGATTTTTTTTCTTTAATTTTGTGTCTTTAGTTATATTCTTTGGCTTTTTAGTGATTCTTTAAAAGTAGTTATTTTTTCCCTTTTTGATGAGTAGTAGAATTAGAAGAATTAGAAATAAAGTATCCATTTAAAAAAGTAGTGTATAAAGTGACATATCCATATTTACGTTTGATTTAATTTAAGCTAGTTGTGTTTCTGAATGCAAGTTCTACAGAATAAATAAAATTCAATAATTACTGTTCAAAAGGGAGAGAGGTTACTTAATTCAAAACCATTAGATCCCACTTTAAACTAAGAATTAATATATACAGATCATGTTTCATTTTAACAATCCAGAGGACCATAGAATCATTGGATTTTTCAAGTATATATTATTTTTTATTAAAAAAATTTTATTATGGTAACATTGGTTTATAACTCTTTATGTGATTTAGAGGTACAGGCTCACACCCTTCAGGTATGTGTTACCACACCATACCCACACCAAGGCACCAATAATCCTCCACCATAGTCCATTGTACCCCCTCCCTACTTTGCTGTCAAATGTGTGGTATTGGTTTTATTGTTCTACCAGCATTACAGGCTGAAAAAGGCAGTAACCTTTGTTGTAAGGTATTCTTCTCTGTACATATATATAAAAGCTTCTTTTTCTTAGTGAAAAGCCATAGAAATTTTTTTTCAAAGTGATCAAAATTGTATCCGTTCCACAATTTGAAATAGGATTTTTAATTAACAAACCTGAGGTTTCTAATAACCACTTATGGGGAGCTTCCAAGTCTTTAAATTATTTCTTGACTATACTTTTTACAGTTTGAGAGCATCTAGTTTTTTACATTCAATCAGAAATGATCACTTTTACTTTTTCTAAAGCTGTATAAAGCCTTACTGGTTTTCCCTTAATATTATTCACATAACTCTCACTCAATGTTGGTTTCAGGGAAAGTTGTTTAGTAATGTGGGTTACTAGCCAGGGCAAACATCGTCTGTGTAAATAAACACAGCATACACAGCTCCTCTTTCACCTTGTTTAGGAATGCACATTGAAGTCAGGCTTCCTGTAAAGAAGCAGGAGGTGGGGAAAGTCTACTTTTGTAGTGTATTTTGAATCTTATTAAGTAAAATTGCTGTTTTTGTGTGGGTATATGGTGATTGATTAATAATACGCAAAAGTGACTCAGACTTTCCATATAGAGACTCATTTACAGCTGCTGTAGTAAAGAAAGAAAGAGGATCTGATGAGACTTTTAGGGGCCAGTCATCATGTCATGAATATACACACCTTAAAAATAATACAATGTCTTCCTACATGTGCATTTCTGTGGGTAAGCACTTCAACATGTCTGTTTCTTTAGACTGTCTGCAGGGTGATCCCTTAATGCATGGGAAGGGTTGTAGAACAGTACTTTTTTTTTTTTTTTTTTCTTTAAAGCCTTGAAATTCTTTCTCCCTGGAAACAAAAATATTGCATTTGATCTTGAGTTCATAGCTTAAGTTGTCTCTCTTCTCCTTTGGAGTGAAAATATGTTCCTGGGCTAGGATTCAGTAGGTTTCACATTTGATGGTTGTTAAAATATTTATTATGATTGTAGGTTAACTAAGTTTTTTCTTCTAGAAGTCTACCTAAATTGATAGGTAGTCAGCAAGTTATATTTGTTTGCTTATTTTGTGCTTTTTAAGAAATAAAACGGGTTGGCTGTGTAAGGTTAATCAGTTAGGTAGCTGGTTAGGTTGGAGATGTAGAATGCGAACTGCCCCCTCAGTATCTATCCAGTGATGAGTGCTCAAAATGGTGTCACTTGCTTCACAGATCTTTGTTTGCGAAAGCTAACTAGCAGATTTAAGTGACTTCATAAAAGTATGCTACTTTTCAGACTAAGGAAAGAGGAACATCTTTTTTCCTTTAAAAAGAAAAAAGTCTATTATAAAAGAAACGAGGACAATTTCATTAAGCAAAGATAGGAAGAAAGGTTCCCTAAACTGAAATGCCAAATAGTACAAAGCCCATTAATTAAAAAAACATCGACAATATAATTCTTTATTGTTCTAATAGAACTCAAAATTAGAAAACATCTCTCCCTTTTGAGAAGAAATCCAACCCCAAATTGATTGCTTGAATTAGTGAAATACCTGGCAGAGCAGCTACTCGTATATTATTCTCTTGTTGGGCCAATAAATCTTTTCATTCATTTTACCTTCCTCCCTTCTCCCTTCATTCTCCTTACGCTTCCTTTCTTCCTTTCTCCTTCAGTGTGTGTGTAGCAGAAGGGGGCATGGGGAGGGTGCTGGATGTCAGGCACAGGAACATGCATGTAGAGTTTACAGTGTAATAGGTGTTATAGTAGATTTTGCGTAAAGTACAGAAAAAAACAACTAACTTGTAATATGAAAACACTTGAAAGACTTTGTTAGAGTTTTTAACATTCCACAAGGATTAGGGCCATATCTTGGATGGAACCTGTTTCAGAACCTTACTCAATAAAGACTCAGTAAACACCAGTTTGGTTGCTAGTACAATCTTAAATCTAGGTGCTATCTGCATACCCCAAGAAAACTGGTAGTTGGAATGCAAGGCAAGTGCAGGTATATGGTTGAAGCTTTGTCTCTTATTAGCTCTGGACCCTTGAGCATTCATTCTACTTCTCTGAACTTGATTTTCCTTATCTATACAATGGAGATAAATGGCTATAAGCCTTAAGTAAAATAATCTATATTTAACACTTAATAATTTTTATGTTTTTACATATTATTTCCTTACACTATACAATGAAATAAATAAGACAGTTACTCTGGTTCCCATTTTGCAGATTAAAAAAAAAAAAACCTAAAAGATGGAATGACTTGTAAATACATTAATTTCCACAAATACGCTACAGACACTGAAGAGGAAATGTCCTCTTTCTGTCCTCCAGGAACTCAGTTTAGTAATGAATTATAATCTTGCTTACTCACAACAACTTCTTTGAAAGAGCTCCATTTCTGCTGGTCTTCTTTCCTATGAAAGGAAAAAGATGGCGATTAGCTAGTCTATCAAGCCACATTCACGCATAGACTTTTAGTTCTAAGTTTAAAAAAATTATGGAAAAATTTATTCTAACCACACTTGGCTAGCCTATGTGATAACAGTCATCTATTCAGTGGTGCAAGTACAGGATCATAACCACACTGTGAAGTGACCATTCCCAAGACTTCCACAGAGTCAGGAAGGATGTTACCTCACAAAATATAATTGCCACTCTTAGACATCATTTCTCTATTTACTGTGGCTGGAATTGTATATGCCGGCTGCCTGGGACATGAGATGGTTTGTCTGTACTAGTGAGCAGTGCATTTGGAATGCTCAGAAGGGAGGAAAAAAGAGGGAAAAACAGAACAGGCTAAATGAAAACAGTATAAACACTTAACTGTATGTTTACTTATTTTTTTCAGTGAAAAGTGAATCTACCAAGAACACTGGCAATGAAAATTGAACACTTATTCTGGAGGAAGACTGCAAAAATTCCCAGACTATTGCAGAGGACTCTGCGCTGATAAGCTATTGGATAATTGGGATGTTGTCTGTGGTGATTGGAATTTTTTGTTTCTTTGAAAAGTAATTAAACAGTCTAAGGATTTTTGGGTTTGTTTGGCTTTATGGAAAAGATATTTCTTACCCCTTGACTGTAAGGCCCTTATTCATATTAACAATCCCCTCCTTTTTTTTAATGATTGCATAGTGCTTATTTTAATTAGGCCTTGGCTTTCAATGTGCTTAATTTTATAGGCTGAAAACTTTTTTTGTTGTTTTAATATAAGAGCAACACAAGGATATCTGTGTCAGCCACAAAGTTTGGCATTCTCTTTAGTGGAACCTCACTAAACAGAAAGATGGTACATCATCTAGCCATCAGGTACCCCCATTCTAGTCTTTATGATTTATATGTGATTTTCCTCTTAAGTCAACTTAATGGGTCTTTTATACTTGCATAGCACCTAGTACAATGTTCTATATGTAAAGGCTGATTAAATACTAGTCACTACTGTTTCTTATATCCATTATAGAAAATCAGTGGCAATGAATTGTTGCTTGAACCATCTCTACACACAAATTTGGCTCTACTTATTCATAAGCTGTATCTTATGAATTCTGTGTCTTTCATCCAGTTCCCACTCCACTCTTGTCATTACCACACAGGGATGTTATGATGAGTATTTTATGCTGTGTTTTGAAAAATCTAGCAATAACTAAGTTGAAAACACTTGGAAGTCTTCAAAGTGTTACTGGAATGTATATGTGTATTTATGTTTATACATGACAATGTATACCTTATGGCAGCTCTGTATACATTATGATTTCACATGTTGAAATTAAGGTTTCCTAGTTTTATTGGAATTTATACAGTTATGAAATTGCAATATGACTATAAAAGTAAATGATTATTACATCTGTATTGCATCTGTGTACTTAATGGTTAAAGAAAGAGTAACAAAATTGGACATTGGTAAAGTTTATTTTTAATATACAATTAGAATAATTTTAGACCAAAAGTAAACTAGAGTATTAATTAAAGCATCTTGAAGATATTAGAAATACAAAAAGATAATAGAAGAAATATGAAAAGATTATTAGAAAAGAGCATATGAGAAACTTGTAGAACACACACATACACGTATAAGTATATAACTTGGGGTAAAAATTAGAGACAATAATTCAAAAATGGAGCTGCAAAGACTCTTGGTATAAAAGGATGATTGGAAATGTGATTCATAGAAAATAAGGCCTTGCCATTTAAGAAATATGTTTCCTACATCAACTTCAGGAATCTTCTCATATAGTAAAAAACTGTGTATCATTACATTATTCACAGTGTTAATGGAAAGACAGAGAAATGGGATTTCAAGAGTCATATTTAATCTATAATTGCAATTGGTATTATTGAAACAGGCAAGAAATAGGATGAATTGAATCAAATAGGTCATAGAATTGTTATTGGAAAAAGCAGAATAAAGTACACAAAAAGAACATGTGATCTGAGTATCAGGGTGGAGAGGAATTTCCTGACAGTGAAATCTGTTATGATGTAGTTTCATTTCCAAGAAAAGTGTTGAGTTCCATCCCTTCTAGAATTTAAATTGAAAGCTGGACAAAAACCAAAGATTTATCCTTTCTTTCCCCTTGCCCAGGAAGGAAAAAAAAATCTGCATGATCTAATGTATCTTTGCCATCTCTGTTTTCTAGAATTTTATTAGACTTTTCATTTATAAACTATTCCTTAGGAAAGAATTTAAACTAGCAGTGTTCCCTTAAATATAACTATCAGCTCATTTGATTAATATGTGCATTTACTTCCACAGGATTTACAATAAACATGTGTTTTAGTGAATAACCATGTCAACTGCTTGTAGAGGGTAAAATTGGGAAAATTCACTTGAGAGCCCTAGAATCTTACAGTATTAAGACTAGATTTCTTCTTTAGAGACTCAGTCCATTTTGGATTCTTAACAAATTCTGATGAATAAACAAATACCCTGACCCATGCTAAGTTCAACATCCTGCATTTTGTTCACAGATTACATTTTAAAAGGAGAAAAGCTCCACCTGGCCTTTATTTTAAACAATGATTTCAAAGGAAAGGTAGGTCTTTCAAAATTGCTTATTATGACATCTGGGATTAATAGCCATAAATTATAGTAAACAAAGTTTGCACCTGTTCATATTATAAATATAAATTAAAAAGAATTGCTATAATTGCTTTTAAAATTCCAAAGTGTAGTCGAACCAATTTGTTTCTCTGTAGCAAGAAGTGGGGTTCAAGTTTCACAATGTTTAGTAAAATGTTAAATACATAACTGTAATGTCAAGAATTTCCTTAATACATTTCATTTAATTTGGTTGACAAACATGTATTGTACCTGATTTCATATTAGTCTTTAAATTTTAAGATATCTAGTCTGCTTTTATTTAATCACTACCTCATTAAACTGTGTCATTTATATTCAGGTAGCTATTGTACACTTTTGATTACTAACCAATCATCCTTTAGTTGCAAGTCACCAAAACATAATGTCAGCATGAAGGGCAATTTTGGGGTTCATAAATAGGGGGTATGTACGGGCATGACTAGATCCAGGAACCCAGTGAGGTCATCATCCTATCTCCCATACTTGGCTCTAACCTTTTTTTCTTTCTGGATTGGTTTTCTGTTCCAGGCTGACTTTCTCTATGAGGATACTCTCTTTGGGGTGTGAGGCAGTAAGATGAGGATGGTAGATGACAGCCATTGACAGTTTCAGCTTACAGCATCATCATCAGTGACCCAAAGCATGGCAGCAAATTATATAATACTTCAGGTAGAATTTTGATTTTGTCCAGTTTGGTTCATGCATCCCTGAGAAGATAAAGAGAGGAATTCCCCCCCTCCCCCAGGCAGAGTAGAGGGAACAAGAGAAGAAAGGTAGTTATTGAGAATATAAATATAACAGATGTCGGCTGCACCCTGTTTGAATTTGAGTAGAAAGAGGTGTCTGATTTGAAAGAGTAAAATCCTAAATTAACTTTGAAACCTTCATTGGCTTTAACTAAAGATTTTAATTCCTGCTTAACATCACTGCTGTTTTGAGTTGCCATAATGGATATTTGAGGGGTTTTCTTCGAAATGTTTTCCATTTGTGTTTGATATCATGGTGGTACTGGTTTGATCAGATGCACATAGCACCAATCTTTTTGGTGGATTTGGAAACTCAGAGTTTCATCATTTGAAAATAGTTGATTTTGAAGTTAGAGTTGTGCTAGAGAAAAATGCTTTAAGGAATGAAGACTACTTAAATAAAAGTAGGTCCTTAAATAAACCTTTGGGATCTGTACTTCACCACAAAGTATTTTCTTTCAACATTGGTTAATGAAAGCTATCTAAAGTATGTGTGCATATTTCTTTAAAATGAACTATAGTGTAAACATTTTCCATATTGGAGTGTGGTAGACTGTACTCATATTAAACTTCAACTAAATGTGTCCTTTAGCATTGGATGAGCCATACAACTCTACAATCACCAGTTTTCTTTTGTTTTGTTTTTTTTTAAAGATTTATTTATTTTTTTTATTTAGACAAGAGCCGGGGTACAGGCCAGATGCGCGGGAAGGTGAGAGGATTCACCAAAGACAGAGCAGGGAACAGAACAGGCAGACTCATGAAATATACGGCTGAGGGGAGCAGCGGGTGAGACAGGAGAGGTCTGCTCGCCATGTGGGTTGCTCTGAGGCTGGCAGGGATCGAACCGGCACTGCAGAGGCTGCGGACAGCTTCACAGCGCTTCGCTCAACCACCTGTGCCACCAGGGATTTAATGAATAAAACACCAAGACATTTCCCCTTTATGATTTGGCCCAACATAATTTTGCAGTCTTCTTTCATCCTTGTATTGTCACCCTTTGCTTCAGTCACACAGCGTAACTAAATGTTACCATATATGTATCCCAGACTATTTTTCATCCCTGAACTGTTTCATTTTTTTTATTTTAACATTTATCATTTTTTACATTTTTAGACAATATTTGCTTCCCCCACCCCCTCAGATTGAGTCCCCATAGAATTTCCTTCCCCAAGGCACCCATGTACCATCACCACAGTCCCCTGTGCTCCTCCCTCCCTCCCACCTTCTCATCCCTCTCCCTCCTCCTCCCCTGCAGTATGTCTCTGGTTTATAATTGTCTGGTTTTGCTTTGTTGTGTTTTGTACTGTTATTATTATTATTTTTACACTCATATCCTATTTGAGTGTAATACACTAATACACTCATATTCCTGTTATAAGTGAAACCATCTGATATTTTCCTTTTTCCTCCTGGCTTATTTCACTGAGCATAATTCCTTCTAGCTCCATCCACGTTGCTGCAAATGGCATGAATTTATCTTTTTTGATTGCTGAATAATATTCCATTGTGTATATGTACCACATCTTCTTGATCTAGTCATCTGTTTTTGGGCATTTGGGTTGTTTCCAGGTTTTACCTATTGTAAATAGTGCTGCAATAAACATAGGTGTACACGTGCTCTTTTGAATCAGTTTTTGTGTCCTTTGGGTAGATTTCTAGGAGTGGAATTGCCGGATCGTATGGTAGCTCCATTTTTAGTAGACTGAGGAACCTCCAGACAGCTTTCCACAATAGCTGGAGCAGTTTGCACTCCCACCAGCAATGTAGGAGAGTTCCTTTTTCACCGCATCCTCGCCAACACTTGTTGCTTATTTTTTTGATATGTGCCATTCTTACTGGTGTAAGGTGGTATCTCAGTGTGGTTTGGATTTGCATTTCCCTGATTATAAGGGATGTTAAACATTTTTTATTAGCCTGTTGGCCATTTGCATTTCCTCTTTGGAGAACTGTCTTTTGAGTTCTTCTGCCCATTTCTTGACTGGATTGTTTATTTTTGTTGAGCTGTGTGAACTGTCTTTCTTGTTCATTATCTTCCCCAATCATACCCTCCCTTTCTTTTGAAATTCAGCTTGACCCATCTTGCTGTGATCTTCCCATGTAGAAGTTGTGTTTACATTCACACTGTATGCAACTTCTCACTAGCTGATGCTAATGTCAAACTGGTTGTTCAATAATTCTAATATCACACTGATTAATAAGAATAAGAACATGTATTAGAGCTTACTAAATAACAAGCACTATACATCAACTTATTTAAGATTTCTCACAACAATCCAGTGAAATAAATGCCACAGTAAAGGCCTGCAGTTAAGTGGGGTGCAAAAATACCAGTGACATGAAATGGGTTGCATTATTGGAGGCTGAAAGAAATGACAGAGCTTGTTCAACTAGCTACCCAGAAGTTCTTACCATCTAACTGTAAGGTTCCAAAGCTATCCTTTACTTCGGCATCACGTGGTGGCAGATGTCCACTCGGGGACATACCAAAGGAGACAATTTTGAGTCAGTCCTATGGCTGACTTGTACTTCTAGGATAACAGAGTGAGTCCAGGAATCTCCCAGCTACCTGATACCCAACCTTGCTGAGACTAACCTACTTTCTACCTCCCCACTTCCTGAAACAGCCCACCATTTCCTCACCTGTCTTCACCCTCCCTTTCATATTCCTCCCCTTCAGCAAGAGTTAAGAATTTAAGTCCACACTGGTTTGAGAACAGGGGCTAGGTGGAAAAGAAATGACTTGTGTTAGTGTGGGCAGCTGTATTGATAGGGTTTGCTCTGCTATATCCACTTGACAGATGGAAAAACCAAGGCACAGAGACTAAGGCTTCTATTCTTCATTCATACTGTTAGATGATAATCAAGTTTGGATGTTTTCCTTCTCCTCATTCCTTTTTGTACCTGGTATTCTTCCTCCCTGTATAATTATTGATAAAGTTCTGTATGTAACTAGTTCAAATCCATGGCTAATATTTGTATCACAGCATCAAGCACAATTTCTGACATAAAGAGAACTGTCAATAAAGATTGTGTATTGTGATGAGTTGGGAGAAGTAGGGAAGCTCTCTAGGTTGAAAAATAAATTTTTTAAGGCCTCAGTGATGTAGCAGTTCTTAGTGAAGTGCTCTATCACTTTCTCAAATTTTCTTCAAAGTCACTGACATTCCTTTTGCAAGTTGTCATGCTGGCATTTTCTTAATCTGAAGGTGTTAATAGAAGGATTTCCACTATCTCAGGACCATAGTTCATGGATGGAAACATTGAGAGTTGCAATTGTTCCTTCGTGCCTCCAGAAATAACCCCGAGTATACATCTGCAGTGACAACTCCATGAGCACGGTTGCCTGGCCAAGAGCCATTTTAGACTAAAGAGTTCAGAGATGTTAAAATTGGAGCCAGTGTCAATTAAATACAGTATTATCCCCATTTTATATGGGCAAGGACTAAGGTTCAAACAGTTTGGTAACAGGGAAAGTAAATAATTGAGCCAGGGTTCAAACCAAGGCTGTTGGGGCTTCAGAGGTCATGTCCTTAACCTTTGGCTGCAGAGGCTCCTTAATGGGCTTCATTTGGGTCATCAGGCCATCCTGAAGTGTATTTCCTGGTGATTTGAAGTAAACACTATATTTTACTGGCTCTTAAGAGTGAAAGTATTTTAATAGGCTACTTTGTCCTTTTTTGAAAAAGGACAGTTTCTACATAATTGTGAAACTGCCTTTTCTTGGAGGCTTTGCTCTTCAAGCCTGGTTACTGATGGTTAACCAGATGCTGTGATGGACAGCAGGCTGTTTCTCCTAGCATGTTGAGTTCCTGCCTGAAGTCTTTTATCCACGTTACTCACATATTTTGCTGGTTTGGGCATAAAAACTTCAATCACTTCAGTTAGTTTGGAACCAGCTGTTAATGCTAATGCCAGTTTTTTCAGTGGATTCCAGGATATTAGTATCAAGTCTACATGATTGTCCATTATGAATTATTCATATGCTCCGAGGAGTTGATTACAACTCAGAGACACTGTGCAGACCTCAGGGAACATGGCTATCCTGGACTACCTGGTGAAGGGGGCCCATGTGGAAAGGCTACAAGGAGAAAGACAGCTGCTAATGTTTGTCACATTGACATTATGTCGAGTGGCAGGAGGAACATGTGTTTGACTTGCTGGTGAATTCAGCTGAGAGCTGTTGGGCATTCCCTCTGAACGGGACAGGGGGAGTTGGGACAACACATGAGACAAGTTTCATTTGAGGACCTGTTGGAGATATTGGGAATGGCTTCAGAAGTGGCAATAGGATGGCTGGAGAAAATCCATGACAAGAGCAGAGCAGATAAATGAAAGCCTTGTAAACAGTGAAATATGAATCTTGTAATTCTTAATTTCATGGAATGGAAGCAAGTGGTCATGCTCTGAACTATATAATCAAGGAAATGTAAACTAAGCCCTGTGATTTTAAAACGGGACATTTCCTGTCTCCCTCAAATAGGTAAGACAGGGACTGTCAAATAGTGGTTTTGCTTTTTATTTCAGAAAAACTTCCCTTTTCCCAGGTTTCCACTGAGCACTTGAGGCGATTTTTGCTGTCAGGAGAGACTGTCATCCACCACTTCTTGGTATCATGATTCCGTTTGGCCCCTTGTACAGTTGATTCTAGTTTTAAGTCCATATGGTATGAATCTGTGGTGCAAAGAGAGTCCCTAAAGCCCAATAACTTATTATTTTTCCTAGAGCCCTGTGGCCCTACTCTTGACTGCTGCTCTGTGTTCCTAAAGAAAAACAGTCAAGTCCGATCTCTGTGTTTTGAAGTTTCAGTGGTTGGGTAACCAGATGCTGTGATGTTGTGCTTTCAGGCCCTTGCCAACATAGAAGAGACAGCAACTTTTTCCATGTTCCTGACAGATTGGGAGGTGTTTTCTCAAATTCTCTGCTTTAGATCTCTCCCTGGAAAGGTTGGTCAGTTGTTCAGCCAACATCCTTGGCCTCTGCACCTAGTGCAGCTTAGAAGCCTGTAAATAGTTTCAGCAGAAACATTTACATTTGGATCCTCACAAACAAAACTTCTAAGCATTTGAAATGGAAAACTTGAAGTGATGAGGAAAGCCAAGGCAGAGTGGGCATCCAGTCTTCTAGGTATAAATTAATGGGACCTGTAAGAAGAAAGCTACTGTGTGCAGACAGGGGGAGAGACAACATGACCCAGATATTCTTTTCTCACTTTCCTAAGTGGCAAGAAGAGCAACTGTGAGGTTAGGTTTGAATTTTTCTTAAAGCAATCATAGTCTATCCCCTACCAAACTCGTGTACCCCTTCGGAGTGAAAGGGG